GGGATGGTGGCTGCTCAGGGAAGGCCTGTCTGTCCTGGGGATGTTTGGGCAGGGCCCTGCATAGGATGAGAGAGTGAGGTCTGTGGATCTGTGGTGGCCACGAATTTCCAGCGACAAGTATGCAGAGGCCCAGAGTTGGAAATGTGTGGGTAGGATGCGAGACCCCGAGGGTCCTCAGTGCCTGTCAAGTGTGCAGCCCACACGGTTCCCTCCCCTGGGTTGACCCTTGCTCTCCACCTGCTCATCATTTGAGCAGTTGAAGGTCCACCTCGGCTCACTCATCCCAAAATGATTTCTTTTCTATGTGTCTGCTGCAAACCCAGTTCTCAGGCCGGTTCTGACCCAGTTACCGAGGAGAATGAGGTCTGGTCCCTGAAAGTGGCTCTGGCCAGTCAGGCACTCCTGCAGCCCTGGAACCTGTGCACGAGTTTCCTGCTGTGGGTCCTCAGCTCCTGTGGTGCATGCTGTAGGTCCTGCTGTGGGGCCCCTCGGCTGGGTGGATGGATGCAACATGACAGGAGACAGGAAGAATTAAGGATGTGCAGAATGTGGATTTTGAGCCAGCAACATGACCAGTCCCCAGGGTTGGCTGGGCGTGGTTTTGCCTCTCCTTCTTGACTATATCATGCCCAGATCAAAACTTTGGCTCCAGCTCTCAGTGAGTAAATGAGGATGTGCCCTCAAAATGCCAGCTTGTACCCTCTTCTCACCCTCTACCCTTCCTTTTAAAAATGCAAAAAAGATACACATAAATCATGTTGACCAACAGTTCACGAATCCCCACTGTTGCCAGAGGCATTGCTTGGGGTTAAAGGGCAGCAAAGATGAATTTGGCACTGTCCCTGCCTTCAAGAAGCCGACAGTTCACCCTGGAAAATTCTTCACTTGTGTGGAATGTGCATGGGGGCGGAAAGCAGGAGCGCCTGAGAGTGAGAAGAAGGGAGGGCAGGGTCTGGGGTGGTCAGGAAGGGTCTGAGGAACAGCTGGGAAGTGACCCAGCCTTGAAGGATGGAGAGAAGTTGGACAGCCCCAAAGATATAAAGTCATTTGGAGTCTAAACACCAGCTATGAAGTGCGGCCCTTGAACCCGCGTGGGAAGAAGTCATGGAAACCCATGGCTTTAGCCAAAGAGGAGCCTGAAGTAGAAATGATTCTCCCTGGCCCCAAGCTCTCACCTTCCCCATCCACTCTGGAGGCAAATGTGTGCAGGCCTGACCCCTCTTGCTCTTTGCTCCCACTGCTGCCCTAGGCCACACTGCCACCATGCCTGGTCAGGTCCCTCAATGTCCACCCCTCCCTCCTACAGCAGGCAGAATGGTCCCCTGAAGACATAAACCAGGCCAAGCATGGTGGCTCTCACCTATAATCTCAATGCTTTGGGAGGCTGAGGCAGGAGGATCACTTGAGGCCAGGAGTTCAAGATCAGCCTGGGCAACAGAAAGAGACCCTATCTCTACAAAAAATTTAAAAATAGGCAGGGCATGATGGCCTGCACCTGTGGTCCCATTGACACAGGAGGCTGAGGACAGAGGATTGCTTGAGCCTAAGAGTTTCAGGTTACAGTGAGCTGTGTTAGAGCCGCTACACTTCAACTTAGGCAACAGAGCAAGACTCTGTCTCTAAAATAAAAACATAAGACCCCCTCACAGGGCCCCTCACATTGCTCAGAGTAAACCCCAGAGTCTTGCCTAATGGGCCCTGGGCCTGCTGCCTCCCTGACCTCTTCTCCTGAGTCTCTCCCACGTGCTCTTCACCCTGACACTGGCCGCCTCTATGGGCCATGAACCCACCCACCCCAAGCCTTCTGTCGGGACCATGCTAACTGGGCTTCATGGCCTGGCTTCCTGGCACCCTTGGCCACTACACCAGTATTCCTGACACCCTTACCCAACATCTTTTTTTTTTTTTTTTTTTTTTTTGAGACAGAGTCTTGCTCTGTCGTCCAGGCTGAAGTGCAGTGGCATGATCTCGGCTCACGGCAATCTCCGCCTCCCACCCCAGACTCAAATGATTCTCCTGCCTGAGCCTCCCGAGCAGCTGGGGCTACAGGCACCGGCTACTACGCCTGGCTAATTTTTGTATTTTCAGTAGAGATGGGGTTTCACCATGTTGGCCAGGCTGGTCTCAAACTCCCAACCACATGATCCACCCCCCGACCTCGTGATCCGCCCGCCTCGGCCTCCCACAGTGCTGGGACTACAGGTGTGAGCCACCGCACCCAGCCCACTTTTTAAAAAAGTGTTATCATGAATAATATTTTTGATTGATAGGTCATAATTGTATACATTGTTGCAGTACGATGTGATGTTTTGATATATGGATACAATGTGGAGTGATTCAACCACACTCATTGACATATTCATCACCTCACAAGTGCTGCTTTGCATCACAGCCTTACCGCCATCTGATAGAGATGCTTATTGGTTTGTTTTCTGCATTTCCACTGCCCTGGAGCTGCATTTCCACCGCCCTGGAGCAGGGCCTGGTCTGTCTTGTTCTCTGCAGTGAACGGTGCTGGTCTGGTGCAGGCGCTCGGGAGATACTTGTGACTTTGTCTCTTTTGTTTTGGTAGATCTGTGCTGCTTTCAAAGTGCCACCTCAGCATATCTCTACAGTGTGATCAAGGAGCCCTGGCATCTGGAACAGGACTGTGTTGAGATCAGAGACCCAGTCTGTCGTCTGATTGATCTCTACTGACTTTGAGGTTATGGAAGTTGTAGGAAGGTTGTTCTTATGGTTTAGACAGCATGTAGTATGTTTTCATTCATTCCACATTCCACTCCATATTTGAGTACCTACTAAACATAGCTCAAGGATTTCTGTAGATGGAGTGTGCCAAAATGCTTCTCCATAAAAGCAGTGAATCACCTTTGCGTGAATTGAGTTAGATGTTGGTTACTGGGCTCCCTTGAGTTGTGGGTTAGGAGTTAACTGTGGCCTGACCTGGATCCCCGTGACCAGGTGATGCTCTCAGTTTGCCAGCAACAGAGCCGTCTCTGCCTCCGACATTTCCTAAGCAGGACAGTAGCATGGGCCGTGGCATGCTAGGAAGATCACTCTGGCCAGTTGTGTACAAGATAAGTTGCAGGGGAAGGAAGTGGGGACCAGGATGGCCATCAGGAAGCGGAACAAAACCTCGCCTTTGAGTAAGGCCAGGGACCTGGAAAAGTGGGACTAAAGTGTCCTGGAGACGTTTTAGAGGAAAACTACCGGAACCTGGTACCTTCTTGGTTATGGATGGGAAGGAGAGAGCAAAATGACTGAGGTTTTGAGCTGGAGGTAACAGGGAGCTGCTTTGAGGCAAAGATGATAAAGCCATAATGTTATCCAGCAAGTGAAGTCCAATGAGTGTGGGACGGTTTGTGCAGATGAGTTAGATGTGGGATCCTTGAGAGTCGGGATGATCGACATGGCAGGAGGGGATGGCACTGAGAGGAGCAGAAGCTTGACGATGACTATTTGGGGAGGAAAATTTTGGAGGAATGCCTGTTTTAGGAACTGAGAGGAAAAGCATTAGCCAGCAAAGGGGGCTGTGGAAGGAGTGGCCCATGGGGCTGGTGAGCTTCTTGGAAGCCATGCCCAGAGAGGGTTTCAAGCACGTGGCGTCAGCACAGCAGTGCTGCTGGGGGTTCAAGAGGGAGAGAGAGTGAATCAGAAAACTGAGACACAGCAAGCATTGGTGAGGCTGTAGAGAAACCAGAACCCTCATGCATTGCTAGTGAGAGTGTAAAATGGTGGGGCCATTGTGGAAAACAGTCTTACAGATACTCAAAAAGCTGAACACAGAGTTACCACATGACCCAGAAATTCTATTCCTATGTAATATCCAGGAGAATTGAAAACATGCATCCAGGTAAAGCCTGGTACGTGAAGGTTCATGGCAGGACTATTCCTAATGGCTAAAAGGTGGAAACAACCCAAATGTCCATTAACAGATGAATGGGTAAACAAATTGTGACATATCCTTACAATGCAATATTACTCAGCAACAAAAAGGAACAAGGTACTGGTACGTGCTACATGAATGAACCCTGAAAACCTTAAGTGAAAGAAGTCAATCACAAAAGGCCACATATTGTGTGATTACATTTCTATAAAATGTCCAGCATGGGCAACTCCACAGAGACATAGAATCGGGGGGCGTTACCAGGCCCTGGAGTGAGGAGGAAGAGGGAATGGCTGCTAATGGGTATGAGTTTCATCACTCTGGGGAGTGATGAAAATGTCCAGTACTTAAAGAGTGGTGATGGTTGCACAATTCTGAGGATATCCTAAAAAGCACTGAACTATGTACTTTAAAATGGTGGATTTTGTGTTATGTGAATGATATCTCAATTTAAAAGAGACAGAGAGATTAAGAGAATGAGCCAGGCAGGTCAGGGGAAGCGTGGACTGTAGCATGGCCGGACTGAGCGCTAAGCAGCCCAGCCATGGCCTTAGTTAGGAGACAGTTCCAGCCCCTGAGTAAGTCCACAGATTCGTGGTTTGGAAAGCCTACAGCGTGGGGCCTGTGGAGAAGACGGCTTTGACTCCTGGACTTCCTCCTGTGGCCAGGGCCCAGGGGCGCCTGAGCCAGTGGCTCAACCTCCTCACCGTACAGGAGTTACCAATTATATGTCTCTAAGCTAATTTCATTTCCCTGAGGACTTCTGCTGACCAGTTGTTAACAGTGGATGATGCCAGTGCACTCACTGCTGCAGGCTTTCTCTTCAATGGCCTCTTGAATCTTGGTGTTCAGAACTGGCCCAGGGGCTCCACATCGCACCGTCACACTGACCTCCAGCTGCTCAAACCCTGTCGGAGAAATCACTGCCACCCGGCGCAACTGACTTTCTGCTCTCTGACTTTTGCGGGCTCTCACTCTAGCCTGAACCTTGGAGATGTTTGTTACAGGCTGCATCAGGGCTGGGGCTGCAGGTCAGCGGGGGCTGCAGGGAGCTACAGGGGCTAGTAGCCGGCATGTCTCCTTCAGTGGCGCTCTCTGCCCCTCTCTTCCACAGCTCTTGCAATCTCAGGATGTGAAGGAAGATGCTGTCCTTTGCTGCTCTATGGAGGTAAGCGGTGGGGCTTTGACATCCTCAACCTCAGAGCTGGTGCATCTCTCATGCCTTGACAGTTCTAGGGGCCCAAGTGTTGTTGGAGGCATTTACAACTCCAGAGGAAGGTAGGGGGATGGCTTCAGGAGTGGGCATGGACTTCTGCATCCAGAATTATCCACCCCAAGCCAGAGTGAACACTGATGGTGACAGCAGCTCACCCCTGACTGAAGGGAGAGAGAAGTGATTCCCTAGACAGAGGGGTGGCATTGCCTACTTCCCTGTCCCCCCAAGACCCCCCGTGCCCCAGCTCAGGCAGGCCACACACATGACTTAAGAAGCTCCTAATGACCTCTGCCCCCAAATATCTCCCTTTGCTTTGCTAATGCTTGGCAATCCAGTGCTGGCACAGCCCATCTGAAAGCACCCCTCTTAAGAGGTGCCACTCCTGTCCCTAAGCTGTGACCCCTGCTCATGGAAACTTCCTCTGTGCTCTCCCTTCAGAGCCTGGCTTTGGCCCAGTCCCTGGGTAGATTTTGCCCTCTGCAGATGATCCAGAGTCACCCAGGCAGGAGAGGGGTTTCCAGACGAGGACCTGGGCCTGACAGCTGTCTTGAGCATACTCAGGTGGCTTCTGCCTGGCTGCAAAGGCCTCAACTGAGGAGTTCAGAGGCCAGAAGCACTGGGAGCTGGATGGCAGCCTTGGGTCTGTGGGACTCTGTTTGTTTGCTGGGCTCCAGCTGGGCACCCTACAAGGGGTTTGGGATTGGGGGGGGGATTAAGGAGAAGGAGAAACCCTGGTCCTTGCCCTCAGGCAGCTTCCAGTCTGGTTAGGAATAGCTCTCACACAGAGAGTGGATAGAATAAGTGTAAGTACAGAGACATCCCTGAAAAGTCAGGGGAGAGAGGTCAGGGAGGGCTCAGGGTGTTAAGGGAGGCTTTGCGAAGAAGGCAGAGCTTAGAAAAATGGATGGGACAAGGCTGGGGACAGAGATGGGAACTGAGATTGTATAGAGAGGGCCTGGGGGGCACTGGCCAGGGGTGTGCTGGTCCAGGAAGAGGGGTTCCTTCTTCCCAGTGGGCTTTTCAAGATTATCTAGGGCTCTCATGAGGGCCTTCTTCACCAGTTTGTATTTCTGTCCCCCACTTCCTGTCACAAGCATGAGCAGAGGTCACTTCTGGGGGCTGGGAGGTGGGATCAGGATCAGGACAAAAGGAGAGAGAAACAGGAGGCATCACCCTTGCTCTCAAGTTCCAACGGACACATGTAATAATGACTAAGCTTATTTCCAGGGAGACGCCCTAGCAAGTGAAAATGATCACAGGGCCCCCGATCACCAAGGGCACAGATCATGGAGCCATTTGTGGGTGCGGGTGTAGTCAGGGAAGGCTTCCTGGAAGAGGGAGGCTCTTGGGTAAAAGGGATAAGAGGCATGTTCCTGGTGACGGCTCTTTCAGCCCTGGGCAGTAGGCAATATCCTGATCTCTCTGGATCTTGCTGGCAGATTGGTTGGTAAATGTGGGATCTCACCCTTGGCTACTCTACCTTCCACTCTCCCTGTCCTTCCAGCCGTGGCACAGGGGCCTGGGCCTGTATGTCCCTGAGACAACCCAGCTGTTTCCTATCCCTGACCCCAGCTCACCTAATCAGGGTGGCCAGTGGGCCATTGTGAGGCCCGAGTCCATCCTAACCCCACATCTCTGTCCACAGCTGCAGAGTACAGGCCGGCTGCTGGAGGAACAGCTGCCTGAGATGATGACAGAGCTCCTGGCCAGTGCGCGGGACAAGATGCTGTGCCCCTCTGAGTCCATGCTGACTCGGTCGCTGCTCCTAGAGGTCATCGAGCTCCACGCTAACAGCTGGAACCCTCTGACGCCCCCCATCACGCAGTACTACAACAGAACCATCCAGAAACTGACAGCCTGACAGCCAGGGGGCCTGGCGGGCGGCCCGCGGGCAGCTGGGGCCCTGGTGCACAGGGCCAGATGGACAGGCGGGAGGACAGGGGTGGCCCTGGCGGGAGAAAGAAATGGGGAGGAGGGCAGGCAGAGTCGGTGGCCAGTCTGGAGCCAGACGGAGAAGGGAGAAAATCCCTGAGAGGAGTGCCCCCGCACAAGCCCCCGGCCCGAGCATGCAAGCTCACACCAATAAGGGAAGCATGTTTCTTTTTCCTGGTGGCCCTGGTCCTCCCCTTCCTCACTCCCGCCTCTCCCCTCCCCATCAGACCCATCCCCCACAGAGCTTTGTGTGAGGGATCTCATCGCTGTGACTCCTCGGAGACCTTGGCAGCCTCGCACGCCGGGGCACCGCTTGGGTCAGAAAGGACCTCGGAAGGCTGAAAAAGTGGGTCGGAGACGGGCTCGCATTGTTCCCGCATGCTGTCAGGCGCAGTCGCCAACTGGCAGCAGGCGACGTGTAGCAGATGTCCGGGAGGACAAAGGCAGGCACGGTCCCCACCAGCCGCCCGTAATTGACGGCCTTTGTCAGCCATGGCAGAGCTGGCGCTCCACCTCCCATCTCCGAGTCCTCCTCACTGCAGCCCCCCAGCCTCAGGCCTAGGGGGTCAGGCGCAGGAGGGGAGATGGAGTTTGCAGTTCCACTTGCACTCTTTTGTTTATTGTGTTTTATTTTTCAAAAGTCGGTTGCTTTGAAGTCTCTTCGGTCAATGAAAATGCCCGCGATGTGATCACACAGTCAGCACTGTTGAGGAACCCCGGATTAGTGGGAGATCAAACCCAGCCCCCTCTAGAAGGATTCTAGCCACAGACAGCTTGCCAGTAGCCAATTAGGGTAATTGGAAACTTCTGCCCCTGCAGGGGGTCCCCGCTGGAATCCTGTGTTCCTCGCCACTGGCTTCTAGCGCCTGTTTTCTCAAAAGAGCTGATACTGTCACCACTGGGACCAAGTTAAACCTGGTCCTGGCCCCAGGGGCCTTGTGGCAAACAGGGCACAGAACGAGACTGGCAAATTAAAACCAAAATTCTAGATGGTGTCTCGCGCTCCACACACAGGTCTTACTGGGGAAAAGAACGGGAATGGGGGCTCCCCAGGACTCGACTTTAGCTAATGCGCTGTGTCCCTGCCCCAGCTCGGACCTAGAAGCCCAGCCCTCCCCCAGCTCTTGGGAAAGGGGTGAATTCACTGAGTCATGAGAGGGACAGTCAGGTGACCAGCGGGGTCGCCAGATGGAGCTTCCCAGCTGGGAAACAAGGCTGGGGTTTCTTGGCAGGCCCTCATCCTGGGGAGCAGGCCCTGTTATTGACTAGAGAGGAAGGTGTGGGGTGGAACAGGCATCCACATAGCTCCATCTCTGGGGGCTGGAGCACACACTTTGATGAGCCCCCCGGAAATGACGTCAGAGCCTAGCCACTTCCTTATTTGCTCTTTTATTGAGGCCGGGCAGGCCCTGGGTCACGTTGGAGGCCCCTCTTGGTCCACGTTGGACTGGCCAGGAGGTGATAGGCAGGGGAGGTTCTCGTGATTGATTCTGAGTCTGAGAGTGGTGAGTGGGGAGAGGCTTCCCCAGTTCTCTCCAACTTTCCCTGCAGCTGCAACCTGCCCTCTGGTCCCAGGTGTGGAGCCTGTGCCTGTCTCCAAAAATAGCCTGTTGGCGACAAGGTGTAGGGGGCACAAGTTTACCTGAAACAGGTCGGTGGTCTTTCCCAAGAAGCCCACGCCACTTCTGGTCCCTGGCCCCTGAACCCTGCCTTCTTCCTCCCCCCACAGTTTCGTCCCAGACTTTCCTCAAGCTCCTCCTCACTGCCCTTCCTCCCCAGCCCAGCCTGGGGACACAGATGCGCATGGGTAGGAGGCCTTGAGGGAGGAGCTGGCTGATGTGGGGCTGCTCAGGGTGGGCCCAGGGGCGAGCTTGCTGTCGTGGCCAGGCAGCCTCCACCTGTGCTTCAGCGGCCCCTGCCTCCCCGAAGTGTGTGGGGTGTGTCTGCTAGGAGGAGGCAAGGCCCCCAAAGAGAGGAGAGACCTGGGAGTGGGAGCTCAGGTCAGGGAGCAGGCAGGGGAGTGGGGTCTCCTAGACCCTACGGTGAGCTCAGAGCAAGCTTCATGCAGGACGCTCCGAAACTGTGTGGAGGGGGCTGTGTTGTGGGCACCTTGGGGCCTGACACTGCTTCCTCCGAACGGGCTCCTTGGTGGTCTGGCCACAGGGGCAGCTCCCCCTTGGCTGTTAGGACCAGAGTGTGAAGAAGTGAAATATAAATATGTATACATATATAAATATATTTTTAATTACATGTCGTGTCACGGTGGCTCCAGATGTACTGTTTGCCTAGTTTATTCCACTGCTTGAAGCGCTTCCTAGCCAATCTGAACAACACTTTAAACTGTTTTTCTAAATGCAGGTTACTGCTCCTTTTTCAGACATGGAAGGAAAACGTTCAGTTTATTTTTTTTTTTTTAAGAAACAACAGTCAAGCCTAAAATTTGAGACCCTGAGGCAGCTTCCCAAGGGAGACTACTGAGACAGGAACTGTAGAACAGAAGTGGACGCCCCACAGACCCCTGGCCCCCTCCCCAAGCCCCGTCCCCTCTCTGTGGCATGAGGAAGGCCACGTCCGAGTTAACCTCTGAATGTATGTGATGAGAGGCAGAGCTTGCGTTGCTTTCCCCTCGCCCGCGGTTCTTGGCGCATGGAAGAGGCGGTCCAGCCATCTGATGTTGATCCTGTCTCAGTCTCCCCACTGCCTGTCAGGATGAGTTAGTCATTGTTTTTCTCCGAGGCGGCCTGCTTGCCACAGCCCTGCTCCCCACGGCCTGGTGGCTTTGCCGAAGCTCTGGGACCGAAGCCCCAGCGAGGCTCCCGACCTCACCCAGACGAGGCCGGGAGCCCCGCCGCCCTCCCCGGGAGTGTGCACCCTCAGACCCCGTTCTGTCTGTTCGTCCTTCCTTGACCAGTCTGTAAACCTTCACTGTTTGGGGATCGTCCTGTCCATTCATGTAAATGTAAATGTTGGCCGAGTCGGTATTTATTCTGATTTTTATTTTATTCTATTTTATTTTCTCCGAGGGATGAGGGTGGGGGGTGTGGGAATTGTACCACGGATCAGGCCTGGGCAGCTGTAGGGGCGGGGGCCCAGACAGCCAGGCCGCCACCACAGCAGCCCCATGGGGTGCCCCAGACGCGGGCCTCCAAGAAGCCAAGTCCCAGTCTGTTTTCTGGCATCAGACGCCGCCCGTGTTCCTTGTCAGACAGACTCTCAAGCCTGCCCGGGGAGTCGTGTCCGTCAGCTGCAGGGCACTGTGTTGGGAAACTGTTGGCTGGGCCTTTGAGGACGCAGATCAGGAGAAAGACGACTTTCCTCTGTTCGGAACACTCGCATGGAAGGGCTGGCCGCCTCCCTGAGCCGGCTGGGAGCCGGCGACGGGACCTACCTCCCCGGAGCAGGGGCCTGGGGCTTCCCCCCAAAGCTGCCGCGGAACCCCGCTAACGCGACCACCCTCCCTCCGTCGGTGTGTCCTGCTTTCCAGCTGAACCCAAACTACAAGTGGGTTTAAAAAAATAAACACCACCAAAAACAAAATGCTCAGATTCTGTGCTCTTTGTGTGTTCAGCAAAAGAAACCTTTCCGGCAGGCTCATGTGCCTCAGCTGTACCAGCAGGGCCTCCAGGAGCTGGCCCAGGAGATGAGCTGAGGGGAAGATTCCCCACAGTGTAGCTGCTGTGGGGAGCAGGGGCAGGATCTGGGGCCTTAGCAAGAAGTTGGTCCAGGAGACCGTGGGTGAAGGAGACTTACGTCCCCCAAAACTGGGAACTCTGACCTATCCGAAGTAGTGCGATTAAGCCAGTCCTGGGTAAAATGGCTTTTGCACTAAAGGTTTGGTTTAACCGCCCCCCCTCCAAACCTACCCCTTCCCTGGAAATGTCACTGTGGCGTTTGGCAATGAGTCATTTCAAGAGGGCTGAGATTTGGGCCCAGTGGCTTCCAAAAATCAACAGCGAGTGGCTGTCCAGTCCCAGTTGGTCAAATGAGTCTTTCATCAAAGAGTTCCCAAAGGGCCCAGTGATTTCTTTTCCTGTGATGATATGTCTCTTGTTTTGCACAATCCTGCCCGTGGCAAGGCACTAGGGACACTGCTTCCTGGTAGCGCTCCCCTCTCCTTGGGGATTCTTTCTTGCTAGAACTTGCCGGTCCTTCAGATCCTTGCAGGAGTCGCACCAGAGCACCAACCCCCTTCATCCTTCCCTGGCCTGGCTACAGTGGCGGCCAGGGCCTCCCAGGAGCCGGGTGAAGGCATGTTGAGATTCGGGCATTGCCCTTCACTGAGTCACATACCCACCGTGACACTGACAGGGACAGCCAAAAGTCCACAGACTGCGTAGAGAGAGATAACGTCTTAATTAAACAATTGAGGTACGTGCCGGGCCAATTTTTTTTTTTGTTTTTTTTTGAGATGGATTCTTGCTCTGTCACCCAACCTGGAGTGCAATGGCGTGATCTCAGCTCATTGCAACCTCTGCTTCCTAGGTTCAAGCAATTCTCCTGCCTCAGCCTCCTGAGTAGCTGGGATTGCAGGCACATACCACCAAGCCTGGCTAATTTTTTATATTTTAGTAGAGACAGGGTTTCACCATGTTGCCCAGGCTGGTCTTGAACTCCTGAGCTCAGGCAATCTGCCCGCCTCGGCCTCCGAAAGTGCTGGGATTACAGGCGTGAGCAACTACTCCCAGCCCTAATTTTTGTATTTTTAGTAGAGACAAATTTTCGCCATGTTGGCCAGGCTGGTCTCGAACTCCTGACCTCAAGTGATCCACCTGCCTCCGCCTCCCAGGGTGTCAGGATTACAGGCGTGAGCCACCGGGCCGGGCCCAAATTTATTTTTATAAAAATGCAAAGCAGTAGAAGCAGCCATTGGAGGTCAAGATGAAAGGTGGGGAGACAATGAGGAACAGGGAGACTTATCAAACACTGCAAAAGAGAAAGGAGATTTTCCTGGATGGTTTAGTCCTACTTCCAGAAGGCCCTAAGTTACTGAACACTATGAGACACGGCATCGGAATAATACATGTTTCAATCCTGATTTCACCACCATCTTTCTGCTGGCAGGCATTCTCTTGTCGTTTTAGAGTGGTTTTACATTTGTACTGGGATGCTCACAGCACAACTTACAAGGAAGGGCCTTCTAAGGACCAAGGCAAAGATAGCAGAAAAATAAAGGGTTGAGCAGTTGAAATGGCAAATAAGTGGTCCTGCCTTAGTGTTAACGGTCTCCCTCACTCCTCCAGTTCCTCAGCGGCTTCCTTACACGGTCTCAGCTGGTCCCGTGAAGTAGGCAGACGAGTGTTTTCCGTTCCCATTTTACAGGTGAGCCAAAGGCTGATCACCAGAAGAGCCAGGGCGAGGGTGAGCCCAGAAAGTAAGCGGGTCCTTCAGACTCCTCATCCCTGCAGTGCCCCAGGGAGCCAGCCAGTCACACCAGCCAGACAAAAGGAGCAGCCAGCTGCCCCCTGGGACTCGGCCGGCTGGGGGCAGGCCACATGGGCTTCCTGCTTCATCAGTGGAAACCGGGACCACGATGAAATACCTCAGATCAGGAGATTTCAGTGGAGTGGGCAGAAGGAGCAATGGTGCAGGGTTTGGTGCTGTTCTCTAAAAGGACCCATTATCATATGTGCAGTGTATGTTGTTGGATCCCAGTTTCCCCCAGGCCAGTGAGGGGGACCCTGATAGTGGGACGTATCAAGCATCAAGGTCAATACCCAAATTGCCTGGGAACATTTTCAAACTACATACTGAAACAGGACACATATACACACCAGTATTTTCAGAATTTGGGCCTTAGGGAGCCCCTCTTCTTACTGGTACATGTGTGCTGTGTGTTGGATGGATGCAAGAGAAAAGATGGTTGAGAGCCGCCATCCACCACTCCTGGAACACAGTGCGATGATGGCCATGGAGGGCTGTCATAAGTAGTGCAGAATGATTGTCTGGGGACAGCAAGCCATGCTGCTGTGCTCTTCTGCAGTCTTGGGGTCTGCCATCTTGGCTGAAACAAGGCCGGCTGGCACATCTGCAACATGGAGCAGGGGCTCTGGCAAGTTGCTTGAATGTGGAACAGAATCCACACCATGGACTCGGGCTGCATTCTCACTCCTATGGGCCTTAGGTACTTTTGCCTTCATAGGCCCCTTTTCCATTAAAAAAAAACAAAAAAATGGAAATATTATAACTACATTGGTAACAGAGACAAATATATTATTTTTATTAAAACATTTTCTCTGACCTAGAAGTTCATTTTTTTACCTCTGATTTTAAAAGAAATTAAAACATTTTGTGGGTCCCTAAAAAACGTTTTGTGGGCTCCTGTCTTAGTCCATTCAGGCATCTGTAACAAAGTACCATAGACTGGGTGGCTTATAAACCACAGGCATTTATTTCTCAATGTCTAGAAGTTGGATGTCTCAAATCAGGGAGCCAGCATAGTCAGGGTCTGGTGAGGGCCTACTTCCCAGTGGCAGACTGCTAACTTACTGGAGCTTCATGGCAGAAAGAGAGTAAGAGAGTTCACTGGGGTCTCTCTTATAAGGGCACTAACCCCATTGATAAGGGCTCCATCCCTCTGACCTCCTCACCTCCCAAAGGCGTCTCCTCATACCATCATATTGGGGATTAGGATTTCAACATATGCATTTAGGGGAACACAAAAACATTCTGTCCATAGCAGCACCCTTTGTGTATGCCTAACAGGTGTATTGGACCTACCTGAGTGTCATCTGAGCTGGGAGTCCCACCTTTCTCTGCTGCCCACCTGATCTCTGGGTGACTCAGGGCTGGGGAGGAGGAGTGGTTCAAAAGCAGTCTTCCAAGGAAGCAGTTGGCCCATGCTGGAAGCAGATGCAGTAGCTGCCTCTGCCCTGGACTGGCTGCCAGCCAGACAGCTCCGAGCGCCAGCCAGAGCAGCTGTGTTTGCCGCGCTAAGGAGGCTGGCCCCGGAGAGCCCGATTCATCACACAGCACTTTCTCCCCTCTGCAGCCCTTTCGCACACATTATCTGGTGATGGTCTCACCAGAGCCCTGTGAAGGAAGTAAATACAATACTTACATCCATTTCAAATATGGAGAAACTGAGGCGTACAGAGCCATCCCATAGGTTTGAATGGGGCTTTATAGTCTTTAAATATATGACTATGTCTGATCCTTACAATGGCCCTGCCAGGTGACATGTTTTTGACGACATTGTAAAGAAGGGAGACAGGCTCACAGAAGCAGAGTAACAATCCCATGTCATGGGACCTGTAGGCACAAAGACCAGGCCTTGAATTGCTGTCTTCTTAGTCCTAAGATGGGACTGGTGGGTGGGTGTGGGGACCAGGCTGAGGACCCAGGCCACTTTATGCCTGAGTCCCCTGATCCATGCCTGTGGAGTGCAGGTCTGTGCTTCCTGCCCAGTGTCCCATAATTCTAACTGGTTTCCATCTTCAGCCTCCCCATTTGCTGGGCATCCCCTGGTTCCCAGGCAGAGTCCTGAGTCTCCTGCAACCCACGGGGGCATCCATTCCATGGGTGGGATCAGTTTCAGGTGACAGATGAAGTCTTACAATATGGCTAGGTCAGGTATGGTGGCTCAAGCCTGTAATCCCAGCACGTCATGAAGCTGAGGTGGGAGGATCACTTGAGCCCAGGAGTTTGAGACCAGCCTGAGCAACATGACAAGACCCCGTCTCTACCAAAAAAAAAAAAAACTCTCTCTCTATATATGTATTTTTTAACTAGCTGGTCATGATGGCATGCACCTGTAGTCCCAGCTACTCAGGGGGCTGAGGCAGGAGAATGGCTCGAACCCAGGAAATCAAGGCTGCAGTGAGCTGTGATTGCACCACTGCACTCCAGCCTGGGTGACAGAGCAAGACCTGTCTCTAAAAAAGGAGGCAAGCACGCTGGCTCACGCCTGTAATCCCAACACTTTGGGAGGCCAGAGGTGGGTGGATCACTTGAGGTCAGGAGTTTGAGACAAGCCTGGCCAACATGGTGAAACCCCATCTCTACAAAAATACAAAAATTAGCTAGGCATGGTGGCCACATACCTGTAATCCCATCTACTCGAGAGGCTGAGACAGGGAGAATGGCTTGAACCCAGGAGGCAAGAGGTTGCAGTGAGCCGAGATCGTGCCATGCATGCCAGCCTGGGTGACAGAGTGAGACTTAATCTCAAATAATATAACAACAACAACAATAATAATAATAATATGGCCAAGATCCCACAGCAGACCTGAAGCAGAGATGGTTCAAGGGTGATGTTCTGTCTCCTAGTCTCATCACCTGTGCCCAGGTCTTTCAAGTGAACCCCCACTTGGGTCCCACCTTGTGCTGGGGGTGCTATAAGGAAATAAGCAAAGGAGACAATGCCTTAACCACCTCGGCATGGTCAGTCTCCTGGGAGCTGGAATTCCCAGACAACAGACAACCTCTCATAGGCCTAGCCCAACTCTGGGTGGGTCCTGGTGCAGGGTCCTGCCCGTGGCATCTGCTGTGCTACAGAGAGCCAACACCTGGCCCAGGACTTCCAATGGGAA